GGAGCTGGGGGGAAGCTGGGGGGAAGCTGGGGTGGAGCTGGGGTGGAGCTGGGGTGGAGCTGGGGGGGCAGGCGAGCAGCAGCAACATGAAACACAGCAGCAGCAGCATAGCGAGTCATGGTGTCTTTTTCTTCTTTTCCTGGAACACCGAGTGCAAGTACATCTGACATCACCGAAGACGGTGGCTTCTGGAGTTTCTGAGGAGTTTACGGTACTCTGACCATTTCTCATATTTTGCATACTCTACTACTCTGTGTTTTTTTTCGACATGCTGTCGTTTCTTCTGATATTTTCGACATACTGACTTCATGGTGTCTTTTTCTTCTTTTCTCCTCACAGGACTGCGAGGACAATCGTCTGACATCAAGGAAGACGGTGGCTTCTGGAGTTTCTGAAGAACTTACGGTACTATACCGACTGTTTATGATATTTTTGACATACTGTACGATGTTTTCTTTTTTTCATTTTTCCGACATTAGTTAGGATTATGACTTTTTTGTCTATTTCGTGCCTATGTCGATTCAAATGTTTTGAAATGTTTCAAAATACTATATTATGACTTTTCTGTCATCGTTATCGACATACTATACTACGCCTTGTTTCTACGCACTAAACCGTGCCTTATTTCCACGTTAAATCCGATGTTTTCTCCGACATTGGTTAGGGTTATGATTTTTTTTTTTTTTTTTCAAGATGCTATATTAGGACTTTTCGGTCATTTTTAACGAAATAAATACCACGCCTGGTATCTACACACTATACCGTGCCTTATTATGGCATAATATATTTGTTTCGATTATGTTGTTGGATTTAAAAAAAAAAAACGACATACTATACTATGTCGTTTTGAAATGTTCAATTTTTTGAAATGCTATATTATGACTTTTCTGTCATCGTTATCGACATACTATGCTACGCCTTGTTTCTACGCACTAAACCGTGCCTTATTTCCACATCAAATACGATGTTTTCATGGGTTAGGGTTAGCCGACTTCATGGTGTCTTTTTCTTCTTTTCTTCCCACAGAGAGTGAAGAGAGGACCCCCCTCCCCCCCGCCACGCCATCAATTAAGACCCCGGCTGCCTATGCTTCTGAAAAACTTGTGGACGTTTTCAGCCTTGGGGAAGTATAGCAGACTTAGCAGCCTTGGGGACATATAGCAGACTTAACAGACTATGGATGTGGCTGCAGTGAGAGCCCACAGCCACTTAGCAGACTTAGCCGACTTGGGGCGGTGGCTGGGGTGCCGAG